GTGTGTCTGTGTTTCTGTGTGTTCTGTGTGTCTGTGTGTCTGTGTGTCTGTGTGTCTGTGTGTCTGTGTGTCCGTGTGTCTGTGTGTCTGCGTGTCTGTGTGACTGTGTGTTTGTGTGTCTGTGTGTCTGTGTGTCGGTGTGTCGGTGTGCCTGTGTGTCTGTGTGTCTGTGTGTCTGTGTGTCTGTGTGTCTGTGTGTCTGTGTGTCTGTGTGTCTGTGGTCTCTGTGTGTCTGTGTGTCTGTGTGTCTGTGTGTCTGTGTGTCTGTGTGTCTGTGTGTCTGTGTGTCTCTGTGTCTCTGTGTCTGTGTGTCTCTGTGTCTCTGTGTCTCTGTGTCTCTGTGTCTCTGTGTCTCTGTGTCTCTGTGTCTCTGTGTCTCTGTGTCTCTGTGTCTCCTGTGTCTCTGTGTCTCTGTGTCTCTGTGTCTCTGTGTCTCTGTGTCTCTGTGTCTCTGTGTCTCTGTGTCTCTGTGTCTCTGTGTCTCTGTCTCTGTGTCTCTGTGTCTCTGTGTCTCTGTGTCTCTGTGTCTCTGTGTCTCTGTGTCTCTGTGTCTCTGTGTCTCTGTGTCTCTGTGTCTCTGTGTCTCTGTGTCTCTGTGTCTCTGTGTGTCTCTGTGTGTGTCTGTGTGTCTCTGTGTGTCTGTGTGTCTGTGTGTCTGTGTGTCTGTGTGTCTGTGTGTCTGTGTGTCTGTGTGTCTGTGTGTCTGTGTGTCTGTGTGTCTGTGTGTCTGTGTGTCTGTGTGTCTGTGTGTCTGTGTCTGTGTGTCTCTGTGTGTCTGTGTGTCTGTGTGTGTGTGTCTGTGTGTCTGTGTGTGTGTGTGTGTGTGTGTGTGTGTGTGTGTGTGTGTGTGTGTGTGTGTGTGTGTGCATTTGCGCTTGTGTGTCGTGTCTGGTTTGCTATCTTTTGTTGTGCTTCAGCATTTGCCTCTGTGCGCGCCTCTGTTATTTGTGTGTGTGTCTGTTTGTTTAACTGTTGTGCCTGCATGTGTGTGTGTGTCTACCCTTGTGTGATCCGCTTTGTTTTTGTATGTGCGCGTGCGCGGTTTGTGTGTGTGGCTGTTTGCGCGCATTGCTAATTCTAATCATGCTGCCGCACGGGGGCCAACACTCAGGAGCGTCCGCTTCGCGATGCTCTGCAAAACCATCCTTGCAGCCATCTCCCTCAACCAAATCGGCAAACTCTGCTGGTGCCAACCGACTTGCGCGAGCAGAGCCTGAGTTCCGTTCCCTTCGGTCTGCCAGCGAGCAAGCGCTGCAGAGGCCGCCCCCACGACCAGGCGCAGAAAAGCGCGCGGGAGGACCATGCCAGGGTTCCATACGCATGATTGTCACCAATGGCACTGTCATTTGGTTGCTGTGAACGCGTATGCGTGTTACATGCTGGCCACTTTGGGTTTTCATAATGCCGCGCCACCTTTTCTGGCCGGCCCTTAAGGGCATGCTTTTTTTATGAGACTTGGATGTTCGTTTATGCCAGAGGTTGGCGACAAGACTTAAATATTTCAGTTCGGTCCGGGGGTTGTTGGTTGGAAGTTGATTGGCTGGTTGGTTGGTTGGGTGGGCGGGTGGGTCGGTGGTTGGGTGGGTTGGTTGGTTGCTTGGTCCATTGGTTGAAGTTGGCTAGTTAGCCAGCAGTATACCTACTTAATCCGCCTGTTTGTGTGTGTAACTCTTGCTGGTGGTTAGTAGGTGTCGTTGTTGCTGTTACAGTTGTTGCTGTTGTTCTTGTTGTTGTTGATGATGATCATGGTGTTGTTGTCGGTGTTGTTGTCAATATCTTAAAGCTTGTCAACAGGCTTAGCCAGGGAACTTATAATCATAAAACGCATGCCCTTGAAGGGCCGGCCAGTTTTTGCTGTGTGAAACCAGCCTGCCCAAGCAGCAAAGTGTTTTGTGTTTGCAAAGCTGTCTCTTGCCCTCGGTTGTGTTGGCAACGCAGTACTCGCTTCTGCTCATCCCAGTGTGGTTTGGTGAAGGCGTTTACGGCTTGAAGGATGCTTGGGGTAGGGAGGTGGCTGTCGCTGCTGTGGAGACATTGGCGCGGGCTCGCAGGTCGCATGAGAGAAACATCGACAACATGCGCGCTGTCACGGGTGCAAGCTTCAAGCCCGCTTGAAAACGAGCTGTCCATCTATTGAATAGTTGACCTCTGCCTGAGACAGCACCGCAAGCAGCCTCAGTACTAGCCTGCGGCAGGTAAAACATCCCTGAAACAGATGAAACTACGATAAAGCCAAAGGCTCACAACTTCTGGTTCCTTTGTTGCCTGCGGAAATAAATGTCCCTTTCCCAGTGCACCCGCGGGGGTAGACCTTGGTGATGAGAGGATGGGGTGAATGCTGCCTGGCATTTTAATGCGCGGCCGGTGATTTTTTTGCCCGCACTGTGGCCACTAAGGTGACCATGAAGGTAAGGAGGTGAAGGAGCTTCGAGGCGGGGTGCTGAGAGATGGGTATGGTTCACCAGAAGGAATTGGACTGCAGGTTTTGGTTCAAAATTAGTCACCGCCAGGAATCAGACCACAGGTTCACCAGGAATTGGAACGCTTGTTTTTTTGTCAGAGTTAGTCACCACTAGGAGTTGGACTGCAGGTTCTGGCTCAAAAGTAGTCACCGTGAGGAATTGGGAAAGTTAAGTGAGGAACTGATAGGCTTCACGGTAGTCCTTTCGAGTTTTATCGAACAGGCAACCCCAGCGCATTTTGAGCCATAATAGATTCATTGGCAAGTTCTTTGGCAGTTGCCGTTGCTGACCTGGGACGTTTGTCGCGTGTTGCTGGCGAGCGCGTGCGCGTGAATGCAAGTGTCACCGCGCAAGCGCGCGGTCACATGGGCAGTTCAGACACACATGTGTGTACACGTGGAACACACATATGTATACGACTGAAACTGCACACGCGGCACGCGCTGGAACGCAAACACGTGTCCAAATTGGAACGCGTGAGCGCGCGACGTGGAACACACATTTGCGCACACGTGAACACAGACATTTATGTGCACCCGGAACACGCTCACGAGTGTTCATCTGAAAACAAGCATGTGTTCACCTGCAACACAAAGACGTGTTCAGCGCCTCCATAGGGCAGCGGGCAATCCTTTGGTATTTGCAGGACTCCGCTTTGTATGAATGAAAAACTGCACAAAGTGACTGCGACGGTGGCCTCTGTAGACTAATCTCCCTTAGTAAGAATTCTGACCGGATCGCATACATGTTTTATCATCAGTGATCAGAACAATCGCATGCTTTCACCTGGAGCACAAACATGTGCTCACGTGGAACGCTCAGGTCATCACGTGCAAAAGTGCGGTTCACTTGGAACGCGCCGATGTGGTCAGCTGGAGCACACCAAGAACGCAGAATCGTTCACTTGAAGCACTCATGCGTGCACCCACAGATCAAGCGCGTGCGGTTTTGAGCCTAAATGAATCCGTCCAAGCCATGCCAGGCATCCGGGCGGGGAGACAAGCGGGGACAAATAAATGGAGACAAAGGGAGACAAATAAATCCGCTCACGGAGCCGTGCCAGACAGGAACCTGTCCGCCCACAAGCAGGAGCCAGACATCCAGGCGAAGACAAATGAATCCGTCCACCCAGAACAGAGAGAAAGGGAGACAAATGAATCCGTCCACCCAGAGAGCCGTGCCCGGCATCCAGGCTGGGAGACAACAGGAGACACATGAAGGGAGACAAAGGACAAATGAACCCGCCCACCAAGAAGAGAGCCGTGCCAGGCATCCAGGCTGGGGCTTGGCAATAGGCGCTTCAAATGAATTTCGAGCCCCTCACAGTAAATTGTTTGTGGAAAAAAGTATCCATGTCCCATAAAGTGAACCACACAATTTTTTAAGCGTTGAGGCCAGCCTATGCTCGACCCTCTGCTGGGATCGGCGTGGTCGATGTGCAAAAGCTGCGGGGGTCGTGCGTGTCGGATGGCTATGGTCCCGTGCAAATCTTCGTGGTTCGCGCGCGACCCTCTGCGAGGATTGTACGTGTCAGATCGCTCTCGCTGTGGTCCCGCGTGAGTCCTCGCAGTCTGCGCGCGACCGTCTGCAGGGATCCGGCTGCAAAGTCGCAACTTTTAAGTACAAACGTACCACACGAAGTGCGTCCCCGCAGCTCCAGCTGCAAAGTCGCAACTTTTGAGTATAAAAGTAGTACGCGAAGTACGTCCCCGCAGCTCCGGCTGCAAAGTCGGAAAGTAGACAGTGAGGCACGCATAGGGGAAGTGGCGAAAGGAAGCATAGAGGCATGCATAGGGCAAGTAGACAGTGAGATGCATAGAGGCATGCATAGGGTAATGCAGAGCGAAGTGTATAGATGCACGCACAGGGACAGTAGACAGTGAAATGCATGGAGGCATGCGCAGGGTAGACAGTGAAATGCGTAGAGGCGTGCGCAGGGCAAGTGCAGCGTGGAGTGCATAGAGGCAAGCGCAGAGAAAGTAGACAGTGAAATGCATAGAGGCAGTGAAATGCCTAGAGGCATGGACAGGGACATTAGACAGTGAAACGCACAAAGGCATGTAGAAGTGCATAGAGGCATGTGTACGGCAAGTACAGAGCGAAGTGCATAGACGCACGCGCAGAGAAAGTAGACAGTGAAATGCATAGAGGCATATGCGCGGCAAGTACAGAGCGAAGTGCGTAGACGCATGCGCAGAGAAAGTAGACAGTGAACTGCGTAGAGGCACACACAGAGTAGACAGTGAAACGCGTAGAGGCATGCGCAGGGCAAGTGCAGAGTGAAGTGCACAGAGGCATGCGCAGGGAAAGTAGACAGTGAAACGCATAGAGACATGCATAGGGCAAGCACAGAGTGAAGTGCATAGATGCATGCGCAGGGAAAGTGGACAGTGAAATGCACAGAGGCGTGCGTAGGGCAAGTTCAGAGTCAAGTGCATAGATGCATGCGCAGGGAAAGTAGACTGAAATGCATAGAGGTATGCGCAGGGAACACGCACAGTGATAGAGGCATGCATGGGGAAAGTAGGCAGTGAGACGCATAGAGGCATTCACAGAGTAGACAGTAAAATGCATTGTTGGAACAAATGTGGTCACCCGTCTTCAAGCTTTGCAACTAGCAGGGCTGCGGGCAGGGGAGGAGGCTCGGGAATCCTTAAATACCGCTCCACCCCCGCGCCGACGCCCGAATTTAAGGAGTTGTGGAAGGGTGGGGGGGGGGGCGAATCCGAAAAAAACACACCCCGCCCCCAAATTTATGGAGTTGTGCCGGGGGGTGAAAATCCTTAAGTACACCCCCCCCCCTGAATTCCAGGATTTTTTCACCCCGCTCCACCCCCCCATTCCCGTGCCACCCAATATTCAGGGATGGGGAATGTGAAGCCCTCCCCAGTCCTTCTTACCTCTTAAAAACACAACTTTTCAACTTTTTGGGTAACATGGGCTGTATGTCTGTAAAAGGTTAACTTCCCCAATCCTTGGAGTTTTAAGGGGTAAGCCTTAAGTACGACCAAAATTCCTTAAATACAGGGGGAGGGTTGTATTTAAGGCTGGCCGCTTGTTTTGAGGCATGGATGTCTTACAAAGCGTTTTAGGTTTAAGTCCATACCTCAAAATCACGCAAGAAATCAAGTTTTCTGCGGGAATTTTATGGAACCCATGCTTGTTTTGAAGCCTCCAGCCTTAAATACACGTATTTAAGGAATCGGGGTTGTACCAAGCACTTAGGGTTTCCCTTCCACATCTTTGAATTTTGCATGGCACGGGAATGGCAGGGAGATGGAAAAAGTCCTTGGGGGGGGCCTGTATTTAAGGATTTTTGCACCCCCCCTTCCCCGGCACAAGGAGTGGGGGGGGGGAGGTTGTGTTTATAACTCCGTTGTATTTAAGCATTCCATTCCCGGACCACCCCCCAGCCCCGCCCCCCCCTCCCCGGGCACAATTCCTTAATTCGGGGGAAAGGGTTGTATATAAAAACAGGTTCTAGAAAATGTGGTTTCATGGTTTTCTTGCCCTCGATCGGCGTGTCTTGACATGTGCGCAGACAATAGCTCCGCGCAAGAACAAAACACAACGCGTCTAAACTGACAGATCCCATAGCTATATATATATATATATCTCTCTCTCTCTCTCTCTCTCTCTCTCTCTCCCGAAGGGCGCGCTTCCAGGCGCCGTTTCGCGCAGGCGAAACGCGAATTTCCGTTTAGTGACGTTCAGCAAAACGCCTTTTGGTCAGCCCAAGCACCCTGTTTTACTACCATGTTGTGATGAGGCGTTCATCAAACAGAGTGCTTTGCCGTGTTGACTACCATGTTGTGATGCGGGGTTCATCAAACAGAGGGTTCCTTGGGCGTGATGACTACCTTGTTGTGATGTGGGATTCATCAAACATCAAACAGAGGGTTCCATTGAGTGTGTTTACTACAATGTTCGGATGTGGGATTCATCAAACAGAGCGTTTATTTGGGCGTGTTTACTACCATGTCGTGATGTGGGATTCATCAAACAGAGGGTTTTCTTTGGCGTGTTGGCTACCATGTTGTGATGCGGGGTTCATCAAACAGAGGGTTCCCTTGGGCGTGATGACTACCATGTTGTGATGTGGGATTCATCGAACAAAGTGTGTTTACTACAATGTTCTGAAATAGGAATCATCAAACAGAGGCGTTTCTTTGGGCGTGTTTACTGTTGTGATGTGGGATTCATCAAAAAGAGGGTTCGCTTCGGCGTGTTTACAACCACGTTGTGGTTCGTGATGTGAGATTCATTAAACAGAGCGTTGTGTTTACTACCATGTTGTGATGTGGGATTCATCAAACAGAGGGTTCCCTTGGGCGTGTTTCTACCATGTTGTGATGTGGAATTAAGCAGCGTGTGTCTTTGAGCGTGTTTACTACCATGGTTAATCAAACAGAGGGTTCCCTTGGGCGTGTTTACTTCCATTTTGTGATGCGGGATTCATCACACAGAGGGTTCTGTTGGGCGCGCTTCATGTACTTTCGGTAAAAGCGGAGCCTCCCTTCTCTTCTGGCTGTGATCTTGGACCTATGCAAACTCTGCTGCAAAAGCCGCCACGACCACAGGTGCAAATATAGCTATTGAAGCCATGAGGAACCCGTGGCCGAACCTACTTCCAGGCAATCAGCTGTTGTTAAGGCAGGTTGCGACAGTCAAGCGTCATCACATGAACCCACCAGAAATGAGAACGTTCCAGAACTGGCCGATTTCATAGTACTCTACACACACTTAACAAGAGTCTTGCAAAAGGCTGACGAAAACAACGCGCTGTTTTCGTCACGAAGTCCACTTAGAACTGCCTGCAAATGACTGGCAGGGTGCATGCAAACAACGAAAAATATAACACGAGGGTGCCTGCAAATGCACCCGTGAGCATATATAAATATACATACATATGTGCTCAATGGCAAATGGGCCAATGACCAGCTTAAATGTCCCGAACTGCATGATCTCAACATAAAAGATCTCACTTTTGGCAGGACCTTAAACGCAACCCCCTGCGTAAGCAACCGTAATACTGCAAGTTATTACAAGTGGGTGTTTCAAAACCTCTGGCTTTCAACATTCCCTGCAGTGTTCCAATTGGCTTCTGAAATGATGCGTTCAATGCACCAGGCTGAGGATTGTTTGCAATCTGGCAGGCCCAAAGGCAGCAAAGCCGCCAGCGAAGCCTGGAAAG